GCAGAGCTCCGGAAATGAACAAGTTGTCTCTGTCCTGGCAGGGGCTTGAACAAATACACCCCAGCAGGGTGAGCCAGGGCTGCAGCAGCCCACTGCCTGCCCTCGGGAGGCGGAGTTTCACCTGCCAAAGCCAGCTTAGACTTGCCATGACCCTCAGACCCGGTGTCCTCAGTGGCCCCTGACAGCGTGGTCCTTGGTCCCAAGAAATGTGTCTCTGAGTATAAACAATAGGAACCTGCAGCTTAGGCCACAAAAAGATAGAGGTTCAGAGTCGTAGGAGAGCCCTAACCAAGCCTGGAATGGAAGGCAGTTCTGTCCTGACCAAGGACTGTTACACTTTCATCTCCCTGCCAAGCCTCGGAATTCAGGGAGAGGGTCTGCTTGGCTGAACTTGTCTGGGGCACAGACAGCTGGGCACTTGGCAGGTCCTGCAGGGTGGCACTGTGAGGCGGGTGCTGTCAGAACAGTGGCAGTAGGCATGGCAGGTGGCCTGCTCTGGGATCTCTGTTGCGCATGGCCCTTTCAGGCAGTGGCTGTGGCTCGGGGGCGGTTTTCACAGAACAGCCTAGAACCTCTAGACCTCGGGAAGCCCTGCCTCCCTTCCTCAACCTTCCACATGACCTCCGCCTGCAGTCTTGAACTGCTCAGCCCAGCTCTGTTCCCAGCTCTCCGGAAGTGCCTATGGGCCACCAGCCATGGTGTGCAGTGCTGTGTGTCTTGGCTGTTCTAGGTGCAGGGAATCCTAGGAAGGTCCCTGGAGAAGTGGGCTTAAGCTGAGCCCCCAGGAAAAGCAGATGTGTGTCAGGTGAGGGAGGCTGGCACCCAGGCAGCATCAGCACAGAGGCGTGGAGGGCAGGGTGAGGCACGGCCCATTGTGGAGCCAGGTCACAAAGGCCAGTGGGGCTGGCCGGGAAAGGCTGTACAGCTACTAAGGTTTCCGAGCAGGGAGAGCCAAGCCTGCCTGTTGTAGAACAATCTCTAGAGGCTGATGTGGAAAGGGAGCCCATGGTCTGGGGACATTGACACCGTGGCTTCTGGCTGGGAGACTGAGTAGCAGGAAGTGCCTGTAAGGACACCTGATGGCTGCCTGTTCCCAGGCCTGTGCCTGGCGCTCAGTGAACCCTCGGTCCTCCTGGTGAGGTGAGCCCTGCCCCATGGAAGTGAAGAACCTCTCCGGGCTAAAGGCAGGGTGGGTTCAAACCCACCTCTGACATGTGGCCGGGCTCCGCAGCTTAGGAGGTCAGTGCTTTCGGGGCAGGGCTGGGCTCTGGAATGTGGGGAGCCCAGTGAAGAGCACCCTGGGCCGAGCATCCCGCAGCAGCCACTGAGCCCTCTGCATCCGGGGCAGGGGGCTGAGTCGAAGCACAGATTCTGGGTGAGGGAGGCCGCCTGCAGGAGGCAGAACTCTGCACATGGGTGGCCGTAGGTCAGGTCAGTGGCGTGGGCGCGAGTGAGTGTGGGGAACAGGTTGACCTGTGCCCTGCAGCAGTGCTGCCACGAGATTACCCCCTTGTCCTACCACACTGCGGGACTGAGTGCCCCATGCTGGGGTGATGCCATCTGAAGACACGGGAATGGGGCAGGGGTACCCATTGTGAGCAGAGGAAAAGGGAGACCTTGGGGAAAGAGACAAGGGATGCTGGGGTGCCATGCTGCCGCCTCTGGGTTCTGAGGGGCAGTGGCCTCCTCCTGGACTCTGACTGGAGCCTGTTCCATCAGGCCGCCTGCTGGGAACCCTGGGTCTGCGTGCAAAAGAAAGGAAGCCGAAGGCAGGCAGCGCAGGGTGTAGGACTCCTGTATAGCTGGCCTCCTAAGAGTTCAGGAAAATGCCACTTGGGAGCTTTTCTTCTGTAGCTCCAGTTCTAAGGGCTCATCTGTTGTCCCTGCCTGCACCAACAGGACTGGAGCAGCCCTTAGGCCCGGCAGTGGCACCTCCCAGGCAGGAAGAGGGAGCCCGTCTGCCAGGCCATCGGCTGGGCCCTGCCTTAGGTGGGCCGAGCCTCCTCAGCTGTCCCAGGCCAGGTTCCAGGTCAGGCTCTGGAGAAGCCTGCCGAGACACAGCCCTTGCAGACTTCCTGCAGAAGGAACTAGCAGCCCTCCCCAGCCCCATGGCGTTCCCCAGCATGGCACAGGTCACTGGCCTGGCCATTCGCAGCCTCCTGTCCTGCAGCTGTAGCCGAGCTCGGGCAGCACCGGGGGACTGGCTTGTGCTGTTCTTGGAATGAAGTTCACTATGGAGGCAGGACTCACCCAGCTACCACCTGACAGAGAAACCACTGCTCTTCCTGGGCCTGGCTCCACAGAGCCAGACCCTGGGTTTGGGCCCTTAGGTGAAGACCAGAGCCCACAGGGTAGATGTGAAGTTCCAGGTTAACGGGACCCACAGACAGCATAAGACTCAAAAGCCCCTTGCAGACAGCTGTGCCTGACGAGCTTCCTCAAGTCGTCTCTGCATGATACTCCGGAACACGTGGGCCCCAGGATGCTGTGCCTGCAGGCCGCACCTATGGCACCTGGAGAAGGAAGCTGTGCAGCGAAGGCAGGGAGCCAGCGAGGCCTGAGGGACAGGTGGGGAAAGTGAGGTTTTGTTCTATAACCCACTCCACGCCTTCCACAGATGTCATCACTGCAATTTCTTCAGGGCTGGGTCTAACAGGAGCTCAGAGCCCAAAAGAAATGCTTTCCTTCTTGGCCCTTTGAAATCTCACCCCTAGGTGAGACGTCTAACCTTTGAATTTCAGATGTTAGAAATGTTGTGGGAAAATGATCCAATTATAGTAAGAAATGAAGTTCTCCTGAGGTGGTGGGAATAGCTCAGGAACAGAAATCAAGAGGTCTGAGTTTTTGTTCTAGTTCTGCCACTTGTGAGTCAATTAACCTTAGCCAAGTTACTTCACCTCTGGCCTGGCTACTGAGGGTACTGGCCAGAAGCTCCTAAGTCCCTTCCCCAGTGCCCTTTTGGGGCTGTGCTGAACCCAGAGAGCCCTCAGTAACAAAACACAGTACTCAAACCTTCCTTCCACTGAATACTCCCCTCGCCGGACATAATGCAATTACTGCCCCTTCCAGCTGCAAACCCAGTGTAGAGCCTGTTCTAAATTTCAGAAATGCCCCAAATCACAAAGTAACATGTGTTAGGCATATTCAGTCTCTGGAGGTCCGGAGTCAAGAAACAAGTTGCACTTGCCGTGCCTGGAGCAGCCAGTACTCAGGCGGTAGTTCTGCAGAAAGGAAACCACCAAACTAAACCTATTATCCAAGTCACTGTGTCCACTGTGTTCTTGGAGTAATATTCTCTGAGATGACTTCACAGTCAACCTCTGATTGTATTATTAGCAGAGGCTTTATTTGCTGCTTTGCCAGGGCAAGAGTAACCACTAGATGAAACTAAGCTTTCCACAAATACATTTTTGCAATGTGTTAGCATTTGTGCAGAGGTAAATGTATTTTCTGGAAGCAGAGTATACCTACAGTTTTGTTCCAGACCAATCAGCTGAGGTCTGAACCCTAATTTTGTACCAGAATCACCCTGAGTGCTTATTAACACAATTCTTGGGCCTCAGGAATCCACTAAAACTTTCTCAAAAGTTGCCGTAGATAGAGACTAACTACTAGCATCTTACTGTTTCTGGAATGAGTTCTAGATGTTTGCAATCACATCCCTTTATACTGTTCGAAATCCTTCCCACAGAATGCACCTTACACACACACAATAGTGCCACACTTAAGCCAACACTGCAGGAAAAATTTCCTCCTCCTAAAACTCCTTGACCAAATATCTGGCTTTATCCACATGGCTGACTTTTGAGTAAGGCAACCTTGGGCTTATGGCACTTACCTGGTGGCCTGTTAATCACAATCACTAGCAGGACACAGTGGCTCACACCTGTAATCACAGCACTTTAGGAGGCCGAGGGAGGAGCCATGGTTGAGCCCAAGAGTTCAAGGACACAGTGAAGTATGATTGTACCACTGCACTCCAGCCTGGGAAAGAGTGAGACCCTGTCTCAAAAAACAAAACCACACTAAAAGGACTGCTACACAGTAGAGAAGAAATTCAGGATGAATGACAAGCAGCCAGCACTATTTTCTAGACAATTCTGAAATAAGCATTTTGATTAAAACATAACCTTATTTGTCTCACAAAAGCCTGGCATGTGGATCAACCTTAAAGTGTTTCCCATCCTAGTCTGCACTTACACAAACCTAGATAGCATAGCCTACCACACCTAAGCTGTATGGCAGAGCCTACTGCTGAGCTGCAAACCTGGACAGCATGGGATTATGCTGAATACTGTCGGCAACCATGATACAATGGTGTTTATGTATGGAATTACAGAAAGTACAACAGAAAATACAGTATTATAATTGTATGGGACCACCACAGAATATGCAGTCTTTGACATGTAATAAATGCACAGCTGTGTATCAAAATGCTAACCATGTGATGGTGTGTGGTAAGACAATGTACAATTAATCCCTTTTATTTTCTAAATTTTAAATGTGAATTCTTTATAAATTGTGTAATATTTATTACACTTACACGATTAAGTGTAATAAACATTAAAAAGGTTCCCAACTTTTACACCAACTTTCTTATTCACCAGAGGGATTTGTAACCCTTTGTTCTGAGACAAGGTCTTGCTCTGTCGTCCAGGTTGGAGTATAGTGCCACAATCTCGGCTCACTGTAGCCTTGACCTCCTGGACTCAAGTGATCCTCCCACCTCAGCCTCCAAACTAGCTGGGACTACTGATGTGCACCACCACACCTGGCTAATTCTGTTTACCACTATGTTGTCCAGGCCGATTCTCAAACCTATGGTTTCAAACTGTCCTCCTGCCTTGGCCTCCCAAAGTGCTCCGATTACAGGAGTGAGCCACCACACTCAGCCAACCTTAATTCTTAATTACCGGAAATACCCAAACCTCAATGACTTACCCAATGTGGAAGGCAAAATCCTATATTCCCAATTCACACATGAATAATTACACAAGAGATAAGTCCAAAATGCTTCCTTTATTACATAAAGCCAATACTGCTACTTCTAAGTTCAACTGTTTGTGCATCTCTACATTGTTCAAAGTGTTATGCCTGTGATGTTAACAATGGCCACTTCCAAGTGGCCAGTGAACAGTGGCAGGGACTGTGAGTGTCACCATGGTACCTTCTCCCCACTGCACACAGTCAACAAACTGCTCTAGGAAATTAAGTTCTCCCAGGCCCAGAGTAAACATATACTCAATATTCTTCCACACTTTATTATAAAATAAGAAGCAAACTTCTGAAGGAGATACAATTAAAGGTACCACACAGGTGTCCTAGCTTGTCAATATTATTTTATCATTTTCATTAACAAAGCAGATTACAGTGTAGCCCTAATTTGCATTATAATTTGTTGTTACAAGACACTGCACATTCTCCTGAAGAAACACCATGATTTCCAAGATGCCAGGTCACTCTTCCAACCAGTGAATGTTGAGCTCACCAGCAGGTCCAGGGCTACTTGTATTCCAATGATGTGCTTGAAATAGTGCTTTGCAAGATCAGCGTGGATTATGTGGACACAATTTTGAGACAATCTCCATTACACATTTGGTAGAAGTAAAACTGCCTGAATTAATCTTACTAGTAGTGTATTAGTGTTGTTATATTATGAAGACATACTATATTCCATTATTCTGCTTAGCTCACGGAAGAATAAAGAATTTGGGCCAAAATTATAACCGATGATGAGCTATTTTCTAAGCAAAAGAAAGTAAGTGCTGAGGTTAATAAAGATATAGTAATTCTCTTCACATGGCCTTGTACTGTTTTGAGAACTGCATAATTAAAAATCCTGAGCTTAACAAAAATCTTTATAAATCAACTCATCAAAACAGGCATTTGGCCAATAAGGATTTAATTTCACACCAATAAAACTTTAGACTTTAGATTTATTTAGGGCTGTTTGCATATGTTCATAGAATATTTAGTTTACTCTAAAAGATGACAAGACAGCCCCCTCTCAGTGAGACCCTGGCCTAAATATATTTGCTTTATTTATATAGCAAGAGGATAACATTAAACATGGAAGCTTTCAATTTGTGGCACTGAATGATGATCTACACAGGGCATCCTTCAAAGGCTACAATTAAGGATCCACCTAACTTTTCTGCAATACAAGCCCGATTGAGATCTTCTGGTCCATTTGCTTGACATTCATGTTTTATGCCTAGAGAGGAAAAACAATTCTATTTAGAATTATGCCAGCAGTTTACCTCTTTCTCTAATATTAAACTTTTAAAAGACCAGTTATAATCTGGATAAACTGTGGTATATACAAACATGGAATACTACACGGTAATGAGAATAAATAACTGTAACTACAAAACTACATGCATCAAGATAGATGGCTCTCACAAACACATTCACTGAAAGAATCCAGATTAAAAATGCATAATTCTATTATATGTATACGTATAGCATACAAAAATCAGCCCACGCTAACTTACGCTGTTAGAAGCCAGGGTGCTGGCTACCTTGAGGAGGAAGGGGCAGGCAGAAGTGCTATGAGTTGAAGCCATCCCAGGGAGGCTTCTGGGGTGCTGGTCATTAGATTATGAAATAACCATTATATTCATTCTGAAAAATTCATCACATTCTACAATATTCTGTGACATGTACTTTTCTACAGATATGTTGTACTTTGCTAAAAAGGTCTAGTAAAAAATTTTTCTTGGTTTTTAAAATATAAGTAAAAATACAAATGATTTTATTGCACAGCTGATTTCGTGAACTGTATTGAAAAGTAAACAGCTGGCTCTTCAATATTACACTACACATTTATGAAATCAATCACAATGAAAACTATGTGAAATATGTTACTGATTCCTTTCTTAGAAAAATTACATCACCACACTACAAAAATGAGCTCAATTATGGATTACATACAGTAGCTTCTCTGTAAACAGCCACTGTCTTTTAAATCGCTGCATGGTTATTCCCATCATTTAAAGACCATTTATTTCTCAAGCTATTGAAAGCACAGTAGGTCAGCTTTTGAACTACTCAGCTACTCAGGACTGAGCTGAGAAAGCCAGTAGATGGTTTCATTAGAAAAAAGGTAGCGTGGTCACCATCTTTTTTCTTTTTTTTTTTGGAGATGGAGTTTCACTCTTGTTACCCAGGCCGGAGTGCAATGGTGTGATCTCGGCTCACTGCAACCGCTGCCTCTTGGGTTCAAACATTCTCCTGCCTCAGCCTCCCAAGTAGCTAGGATTACAGGCATGTGCCACCACACTGGGCTAATTTTTTTTTTTATTTTTAGTAGAGACAGGTGTTCACCATGTTGGTCAAGCTGGTTTCGAACTCCTGACCTCAGGTGATCCACCTGCCTCAGCCTCCCAATGTGCTGGGATTACAGGCATAAGCCACTGTGCCCGGCCGGTCACTGTCTTTTAGTATCACCAAATCAAGTGTGCAAAGCAACTGCCTTTACTGAAAGGCAATGTGGAATAAGAATAATAAGGAATCTACTCTGAAACTTTTGGATGGGCTGAAAAAGTGCTGAAGCTAAGGAATCATTTAAAAGCACCAGTTAGCAGTCCAGTGACACACTTCTAGGGGATGCCAGGCATTAACCCAAATGCACAAAAACCTGACCCGGCAATAAACTATGCAGCAGCAAGGCTTGGGAAAGGAGGCAAGAATTTTGTTTTCCTAAGTAAAACAGGCTACCAACTTGTTCTATCATGAGAATATAAAACCCAGTGACAATAAAACAAAACAAAACCAACATCAGGCCAAGCCCTTGTGACCTTGGCTCACTCAGCTGTTTGGAAATAGCCATGGCAGGAAGGTAGCAGGGCAAACTCTTAAACTAAAGCGCACACATGAGACCAAGTCTCCCCTTCTACAGCTGAGAGAATCAAGGCCCATGGAGGTTAAGCAGTTCTGGCCAAGGCCACACACCAGTTAGACAGGCTTCACCCTCAGTTCAGGCCTTTGGGCACTTGCCCCATGCATGCTCTTTCAATCATACCAACATTTTCTCCTGGCTGGAGTCTGGCCAGGCCATCTCATCAGGATCCCAATCACCCAGTAGCAAGTCAAATAGAACTGACCAGCTCAGGAGTGGGTGCACTTTCCTTGGGACACAGATGAATCAATTACCTAAAATCATGCCATTCAACAGTAAAGCTGGAGAAAAGAGCATCCTTTCTCATTTAGGAACACTTCCTTTTTGCAACTTTATTATAACAACTACATTCAAAGGCAAGAGCAAATTTACTATTATATCCAGTGTAAAACAATTAGTCTCCACCTTCTATGTGAGAAAACTGGCAGCACCTCAAACTAGTTTAAAATCAGTCTGAATAAACAATATATATAGACAAAGTGAAGGGAGCAGGGTTATTAAACATAGGCTGTGCAGTCCCAGAGCAAGGAGCACAAAGTAGAAGACACATGGAAAGCCAGGTTCAACCTTGGCTTTTCTCAAAACAAGCAGCACTTCTCTCCTGTTCCCGAAGCTCTGCAAGAAAATGAGGTACTTTTCAGAAAAGCTGCTGCCCCATTCTGGATGGTCACCATACCCTATATATTCAGAAGTAATTTAGACCATACCTTGAAATTTCTTTTTGATTGCATCCTTGGAGCTTGCATAGATCATTTTACTTTTCAGAGGTGCTAGTTCTGGTGCCCTAGATAGAAAGACACCAAAAATGAAAAAAAGTGGTTTAGAGAAAGTACAACGTACATTGTGTTAAACATTTACTTCAGTGTCAAGGTGAGAATCCTCAGAATCTCCTTAAGAGATTTTGTTTGTAACTACACATTTTTTCTACCTCCCCAGCAGCTTAGAGGGGAAATGCTACAGACAGGTGAATACAGAATCATTCAGGTTAACCAGGGTGGGAAAAAAAAAGAGAACCAGTGATGGAAAAACACAGCCACCAATTAAAAATTAGATTAAAGTGGCCATAATGAAAGAACCAACACTGAGTACTTCACTGTATAAACCAATTCTTTTTCTTTAGAATAATTTTTCATTTTTTATTAATAAAGGCTTAGGTTCAGGCTGATAATCTTATTTACAGAAGGTTTTTAACAGTTTTTCTAGTTGGAAAAAGGTTTTAAAATACAGAAAAGAACAGAGAATAATCTGTAAGTATGTGTGACCCAGAATTAAATGCTAATATTTTTGCATCTTTGCTTCAGATTGTTTTCTAAAAAATAAATCAAAACAAAAAACAAAAAAAATAAAAGAAAAAAATAATAAACTACAAATGTAAGTCCTCTTCTTCTTAGACCTCTCCAGTCCGTCATCTATTCCAACAGCAGGTTTTGATCTCACAGGTACCTGTTCTCTATCTTAGTCTAACACAACAGTACATGTTCAATTATAGATCTTGGAGTCCAAGTTTCAATAATTCTCTTGAAAAAATATTAAATCCACTTGTATAATGTCATGATTCTACATAAAGCTTTCACAAAGATTTCTAAACGGCAACTCACCAATAATCACGTCTTAACTGTCAATATTATTACTATCTTGTATTTATAAAATTTGAGCGCCTTCCCCCTCAGAAAATGGAAGTGTGTTGGAGGCACAGCATATGTGTCACAACACCTTCTTCAACAGCGATACTTAAGAATATTAGTAATGCACAGAAACCCTTGTCCCACAGACTGCTTGCCTGCGAGTCCTTCTTTCCTCTGTACACCAACCCGCAGGCCCACCCTCATACCACACTGCTAAACTATCACAGAGAAGATGCAGTACAGAAGTCCTCACTTAACGTTTTCAATCGGTTCTTGGAGCCTGTGACTTAAAACAAAATGACATATACCAAAACTTTTCTCAGTGCTGTAACAAAAATACATGGAAGGAAATGACGTTATTTGAGGACCTGGTGTATGTTGTTTCGCTTACAGTTGCAGTTTCCAAGAGCCTGCTGATGGTCACTAAATGAGACATTACTGTATAGTTAAATACTTCTGAGCATTTAATAATTCCATTTAGCTGCCATATATCCAGGACATTCAACAACCATGAGCCCTGGCATGTGGCCCTCACCTAGTATACTCCTTACCCTAGTGAACAGAGACTCTATTCTTAGGAAACAGGAAATGGGCAGTCTCTGTCTCTCAGAGGCTTATTCCTCCCAATCCTAAGGTCCAGTGAAGGAAGGAAAGCCATCGCAACCTCAGGACTGGCAGATGTTTGAGCTACAGAGTGGGTAATTGTCTTATGAAAATAGGTCAGAAACAAAAAGGCATCAGCTGTTCTGATTTTATTCTAACCAACCTGTTAAACTACTTTAAGAGCTACTCCCTGGGCCTTGGGCAGAGCTTGTTACAGAAAATGCCTTTAAATAAGGTTCTAACTTTTCTTAAAACAATAGTGCAAAATAAACCATTGCACTAACACAAAATTTCCTTTTCTATTATTTACCGAATGTTTTTAATAAGAATGAATAATTTTCATAATTACAAAATACATAAAAAGCAGAAAAAAAACCCCCTGCAAATTAAGAAAACACTGGCCAATTTAAAAGCCTAAACCATTAACTGGACTATCTGCCACTGAGCTGTGAATGCCAGAAAAGCAGGGACTTTACCTGTTTTATTCACAGCTGTTTTCACAGGCCCTAACACAACAGCTGACATGTAGTAGAAATAAAGTTTAATAAATGCACCTGCATTCAAATCATTGTCAATTTTCGGTCTTATGTACCAGCCTCAATGGACTCTAAGCTGCCTGCCTGAATACGTGCACCCTGATCTCGTATTTTCATTCCTCACAGCAACTTGGTTTAATCAAGTGCATGCAGTAAAGGCTAAGTGAAGTGTGACTTCGAGTTATCATCTTTTTTTTTTTTTGAGACGGAGTCTTGCCCTGTTATGCCCAGGCTCGAGTGCAGTGGCGTGTCTGATTTTTTTTTTTTTTTTTGAGAGGGGCAAGGATTCTCTTGAAAAATCAGATGATGTTACCATTTCTCCCTCCCCTCGGAAACTAGAGAGTATTCTATTCCTGGCCATTCAAGGAATGTAGTGTAATATTCAATAAATGAGGGCTCCAGGTGTGACTTTCCTCTAAAGCTTCATCTCAAATACTGACTTACCTGAAAAGGCCAGAATAACTAAACAACATTTCAAGAAAAAGTCTATAAAAATAACTTTATAGCACTTTTTCCACTATCTAGAGTATCACTGCCCAATGGAATTTTCTGCAGTGATGGAAATGCTCTGTATCTGTGCTACTCAATAAGGTGTCTGCTAGTCAGATGTGGCTACTGAGCATTTGAAATGTGGTAATTCATTCTGTAAACAAACTGAATTTTTAATTTTAAATAATTTAAATAGCCACATATGGCTAGGGACTACACTACTAGACAGTGCAAATGTAGAGCAAATTATAGCAGGGAGGGAATGATACTAACTTCTTCAAAAGTAGCAGACTGGAGAGTACAAGTGAAGGGTGCATATTTAAAAGAGTAGAAGGCTGGCTCCTGGTATGGATCGTTGGAAAAGTAGGGTTTTGGTTTATGAGTAAGAAATTTAAAAGAAGTAGGAAATTTTAGCTTATAAAAGGAGTATATTCAGAGGATGCCTCCTGTCCCTTCCCCACCAAAACAACAACAAAAATCAATTACTGAGAGTCACATAAGAGGTAGACAGAAAGTAGTGAAAATTTAGTTTTGCTCCCATAAACATCAACCCAGGTAACATTATGAAACCTGTAAACAAAAATTAAATGACAACAACTGCAAATAGCTTGAATAAAAATGACTTTGGTGCTGGAACTGGTTTTCCAAGTGCTAACACTAACGTGCTTACCACAAGAAAAACATCAACTCTTCTTTTCTGGATTCTTTTGTTTCAAAGCTTGCATCATATAAAGCATAGCGACAATCTTTTTCAGGAAGCATTCCCACAAAATGCTTGAAAGGATCAGTTATGGTTACACCAACATCTCCAACCAATATCTCTTTGCCTTCTTCTACAATGATGCACTTTTTGTCTGCACTGAGACAAAAAATGACAGCCTTCTTTCTTTTCTTGATTTCTTCTGGTGTGGAGCATTTACGAACTTTCATGTCATAAAAAATACGACATACTTCATCAGCAACTTGCACTCCTGAGGCCTATGGTTAGAAAATACATGAGAAAATGACTTACAATTTTTATTGTGCTCATTGTAAAATCCTAACTTCTGCTTATAGATTGGCATACATTTCAAATTTTAAAGGCATATAATCTAATTAAAAAACTAGAAATTTGAGTTGTAATCACTACTTTTAGACATCAAACTTTTTAAAAGATCACAAATATATGCCATTCACCACTATTGCACAGGGTTAAGGAAAGATTCAACTATAGCAGCCTCTCCTACCCTAGAACCTTAGAAGAAGTGTCTCCTAAGGTGCCGGATTATTTTCTTCTTACACAGGTTGCTTAGAGCCTTGACCAGAGGCAGATCATCTTCCCAGTCCTGTATACTGACGATAATTAAAACTCCTTTCATAATACACAGTATTACTGATGGTCATAGCTGCTAGATTGGAACATTTTCATCCCTACAGCATCTCTTTCTCTAATTAAAGATTAAGAGGTCTTTGTTCTACTCACATTTCAAAATCATGTGATCAATATTCAGTATTTGTCACTTGCCATTAAAATTTTACTTAAAAATTCCAAACTTTAGGGCCGGGCGCGGTGGCTCAAGCCTGTAATCCCAGCACTTTGGGAGGCCGAGGCGGGTGGATCACGAGGTCAAGAGATCGAGACCATCCTGGTCAACATGGTGAAACCCCGTCTCTACTAAAACTACAAAAAATTAGCTGGGCATGGTGGCGCGTGCCTGTAGTCCCAGCTACTCAGGAGGCTGAGGCAGGAGAATTGCTTGAACCCAGGAGGCGGAGGTTGCGGTGAGCCAAGATCGCGCCATTGCACTCCAGCCTGGGTAACAAGAGCGAAACTCTGTCTCAAAAAAAAAAAAAAAAAAAAAATTCCAAACTTTAAATTAAGACTAAAATAAATTTAAAAATGTCTACTGCTATAATAAAGAGAGTAGCTTTATTTGGGATTATACTGACCAGAAAAATAACTTTCCACTATGTTATACGTGCTATTCTGAGATAAGGAACAATTAAACAAGATCTTAATAGCACAAGTGATCTTAAACCAGTTTTTAGTTTTTTCATCTTGAGGAATGTGCTATTTACATTAACTTTACTATAACCATAATTTTTTATGCCTCATTAACTACTTTGTTTTGCCTGTTAGCTATTCTAAAGCAATAATTATAAGGCCGAACAAGAGATGCCCAGGAGGTTCTGCCAGTCGTGGTTGAATGGCACTGGAGGATGATCAGACTAAGGGAGGAATGCAGACAATCAAATGTGTGGTTGTAGAAGATGTGACTGTAGGAAAAAGCTGCCTCCCCATCAGTTATACAACAAATGCCTTTCCTAAGGAGTATATCCCAAATGTCTTTGGTAACTACAGTGCCCAGACATCTGTAATGGCCAAATTATCAGCCTGAACCTGTGGGACACCACTGGCCAAGAGGAGGAGTATGACCAACTGCAAATGTTCTCCTATCCCTAGACCAATATCTTTGTCATTTGTTTTTCCATTGGCAACTCATCTTCTTATGCCAATGAGAGGCATAAGTGGTACCCAGAGGTCTCCCATCAATGCCTCAATGTATCTGTTCTGCTGGTAGGCACCAAAAGGGACCTGTGGAGTGACCTTGAGACAGTGAAGAAGCTGAAGGAGCAGAGTGCCAATGACACCTCAGCAAAGCCCTTCCCTGGCTAAGCAGGTGGGAGCTGTTAAGTATCTGGAATGTTCAGCCCTGATGCAGAATGGGGTACATGAGAGATGGAGTCTCATTATGTTGCCTAGGCTGGAGCCTAGTGGCTATTGACAGGCACGATCATACCACATTACAATCTTGAACTCCTGGAATTGGGCAGTCCTCCTGCCTTGGCCTCTCAGGTAGCAAGGGCTGCAGGTGTGTGACAGAGCGCCTGGTTACTTCACTTCTTTTTACTGCTGAGTAATATTCCATTGTTTGGATATCCCACATTTTCCTTATCTATTCATCAGTTGATAGACATTTGGGTTGTTTCCACTTTTTGGCTATTAACACTGCTATGAACACTCATGTACAAGGGTTTGTGTGGACATGTTTTTAATTCTCTTGGGTAGAAAACTAGGAGTAGAATTGTTGGGTCATATGGTCAATTTATGTAAAACCATGCTCGGAGTCAAGAATGGTATCTTTAGGCTGGGTGTAGCAGCTATGCCTGTAATCTCAGCACTTTGCAGGGAGAGGGCAAGACGATCACTTGAGTGAGTTCAGACCTTTGAGACCAGCATGGGTAACATAGGGAGACCGCACCTCTATAATTTTAATTAAAAAAAGAAAAATAAATCATAAACAATAGAATTTAAATACTAAACAATGAAAAAATATTAATGATACCCAAAATTAATGTCAAATATTTAAGAAATAAAAATACACATAAGATGAAGATAACCAACAGAATGAGAGAAAACATCCAAAAATCCTACATGGAACTTGTCAGAATAAAGAACCCTTACCACTCAACAATTTACAAAAGGGCAAATACTTCCAACTGAAAAACAGTTAAAGGATTTAAAAAGACAGTTCTACAAAGATGATGTATAAATGGCCGATAAGGACATGGAAAAAATGCTCAACGTCAATAGTGATTAGGGAAAAGCACATCAAAACCATAATGAGATACCTCATCACTTCAAAACCATAATGAGCCACCCACTAGGAGGGCTAAAATAAAAAAGATAGACAATAACAAACGTTTGTGGGGCCATGGAGAACCTGGAACCCTCACGTGCTCCTGTGTAACTATAAAATGGTATAACCGCTTTGGCAAACACTTTGGCAGTTCCTCAAAAAGTTAAACATGAAGTTAACACCTTACCCAGGAATTCCACTCTTAGGTATATATACTCAAAAGAAATGAAAATGTGTCTACACCAACACCTGTACACAAATGTTCACAGCAGCATTATTCAAAATAGACCAAAAGTGGAAACAATCCTAAAGTCCATTTAGCGATAAACTGATTTTTAAGATGTAGTATATCTATAAAATGGAATATTTCTTGGCCATTAAAAAAATGAGGTACTGATACACGCTATGACAAGGATGAACCCTGAAAAACATTGTGCAAAGTGAAAGAAGCCAGAAAGAAAAGGCCACCTACTTCATGATTCTATTTATATGAAATGTTCAAACTGGGTAAAATCCATAGACAGACTAGTGGTTTCCAGGGGTTGAGAAAAAAGGGGAATGGAGAGTGACTGCTAATAAGTATGGAGTTTCTTTTTGGAGTGATGAAAATGTTCTGCAAGTTGACTGGGGTGATGCATACACAACTGTGAATATACTGAAAAACCACTGAATTGAACTGTATTTTGCGGTACATGAATTACACCTCAATAAAGTTGTTAACATCAAATACTGCACGTTCTCACTTGTAAGTGGGAACTAAATAATGTGTACACATAGACATAGCCTGTGAAGTAACAGACAGTGGAGGGCCAGGGGAAGATAAGAAATTAACTAATGGGTAGAATGTATGTTATTTAGGTGATGGATACTCTGAAAGATCTGACTTCACCACTACACCATCCATGTATGTAGCAAACTGACACTTGTACACCCATAAATTTATACAAACAAATAAAAATAAAGTTGTGACTTTAAAATGCATGCAAGAATTCTGGGAAAGATACACTAAGATCCTAGCATTTACTTAATGTTAAGGTAACTGGGCCATTTCATCATCTCATTCATTAAAGATCTCTAAGTAATATACTCCAATGCCATCTAATCCACATATTCTGTTTATAAATGAACATTCACTCTAATAAAGTGGCAGATACAGAATTAAGACGAGGAAACTAACTCAAACTACACAATGATATCACATTCCTACTTAAAAAGAGCACTTTTCTTAAATCTTTTACAGCTTTAGTAGTAGTATATTTCTGATTTTTATAATGTATCTTACGTTAGGCAAGTTAAGAATCACTTTGCAATAGATGAATAAAATATTCAAAGCAACAAAAACCGAAGAACTAGAAACAGACTCCAACGCCTCTAATGCCCTAGTCCATAATGTTGATTAATAAGTCACATTTGACCCAACAACCAATTTCTAAAAGCATGAAAGCAACATTTAAAGCCTTATATTGAATCAACCAATATTTGAACACATCTATCAATATCTAAGCATCTCAAACTTTCTAAATTGATTTGTAAATTAAATCAACCACGTACCAGTAACTGAAAACAAAGTAAATGTGTATTCTGCAATTACAAAACAAATCTCAGCCAAATCTGGCTGTAACTTACAAGTTCCTTAAAAGCCTCAGTAAGAAAGAATTTTGTCTTTTTTTCTATCAGAAATGATGTCTGTGGAGTTTCTTATACCATTAGACACTTGTGCTTGAGGAAATTAACACTGAATAGTATGAAGGAGAAACTGGCACAAAAACTGGAAGCAGAAAACTACTTTTGGGACAATTACAAACATTCAGAGAAGCAAGCTTTGAACTACAGTAGTAAGGCTGAAAACAAAAACATTCAAGGACGTGTCAAAGTCAAACCAATATAGCTGAATGAGACATGAAAGAGTGGTATCAGAGAAGCCCCAGGATTAGTAACTAGACTGCGATATATGACCAGAAAAGGAAATACGGCACAGTATGACACTTTAACTCTGAAGATTGTACAAGGCATCTAGGTGGAGACGACCAGACAATGGCAGAAATATGAGCATGGATCTCACGGGAAGGCTTTACCTAATACGTACCTTGGACTAGCCCACATCACCAACATTAAGCAGCAAAAGAGAAACCAATCTAGTTTCTCAACATTGAGTATGTAAAAACTAAAAAGAAAAAAAAAGAAACCAATCAAAGACACTAAAAAGAAGTAATCAGAAAACTAAGAAGAAAAAGTAAGAAGAAAGAAAGCAGCACCTTAGAAGCAAGGGAGACTATTTTGAGGAGGAAGGTCATTAACATCCAACTGTGCAGTATTTGAGAGAATGAAACATCCTGCTGGGCTTGGCAACCGGGACTC